GCTGAGCATGACTTCCTGGGCCGGTTGCCCAATAAATTTACTTTAGCATTAGGTTATCCTGTAGTAAAAGGGAGTCATCCAAGAATAGACCCTAAAAGCCTTTTGATGGGAATAGGAAATAGGGAATCTGATTTCAGGTAAGCCTATGGGAATTTCCTATAGCAAGTTGGGTCCTAGGAGTGACACATCATGGTGGGCATTTTGTCCAGGCTTTTCAGATTGCCTTGTAAAAACTCTCAGGAGGCTAAACTCAGTTATCAGCGTCTACAGCCATAAAATGTCAGGGACACATTTCCCTCATCAAGCACCCTTCCAAGGACGCTGGTGAGCATAACAAGGTCTCCCTTCAGTGAGTAATCAATACTACTGCATTTGGATCACAAAGAACCCAGACAGTTGCTCTTTTCAAATCTTTGTTTGCAACCCATAACTCTTCACCACCTGCAAGTCTCTATCTTTATATTCAAATGGCTAAAACCTACACACTCTACACCAGAATTTTCCAATAGAATTTTCTATATTAATAGAAATATTCTATTCCACACTGTCCAAAATACTAGCCACTAGCTATACGTGCTAGTGAGCACTTGAAATATGGCTACTGTGACTGAGGAACTGCATTTTAATTGGCTTTCATCTTTTGCTTACTTTTACTTTAGTTTCAGGGGTACGTGTGCAGGTTGGTTATATAGGCAAATTGTGTGTCATGGGGATTTGGTGTACAGATGATTTTGTCACCCAGATAATGAGCATGGGACCTGACAGGTAGTTTTTTTTATCCTCATCCTCCTCCTACATCCTCAAGTAGCCCCGGGTGTCTCTTGTTCCCTTACTCGTGTCCATATGTGCTCAATGTTTAATTCCCACTAAAAGGTGAAAACATGTGGTGTGTGGTTTTCTCTTCCTGTGTTAGTTCACTTAGGAAAATGACCTCCAGTTCTATCCATGTTCCTGCAAAGGATATAATCTCATTCTTTTTTATGGCTGCATAGTATTCTGTGGCATATATGTACAACATTTTCTTTATCCAGTTTACTGTTAAGTGTATTAAAGTTGATTCTGTTTCTTTGCTGTCATGAATAGGGCTGCGATGAACATACACATGCATGTGTCTTTATGGTAGAACAATTTATATTCCTTAGGGTATATACCCAATAATGGGATTGCTGGGTCAAATGGTAGTTCTGTTTTGTTTTTTTTGTTTGTTTGTTTGTTTCAGACAGTCTCACTCTGTCACCAGGCTGGAGTGCAGTGGCACGATCTCAGCTCAGTGTAACCTCCATCTCCTGGGTTCAAGCAATTCTCCTGCTTCAGCCTCCCGAGTAGCTGGTACTACAGGTGTGTGCCACCACGCCCAGCTAACTTTTGTGTTTTTAGTAGAGACTGTGTTTCACCATGTTGGCCAGGATGGTCTCGATCTCCTGACCTTGTGATCTGCCTGCCTCGGCCTCCCAAAGTGCTGGGATTACAGGCGTGAGCCACCACGCCTGGCCTCTGTTTTAAATTCTTTGAGAAATTGCCAAACTGCTTTCCACAGTGGCTGAACTGATTTAAATTCCCACTGGCAGTGTATAGGTGTTCCCTTTTGTCCACAACTTTGCCAACATCTGTTATTTTTTGACTTTTTAATAACGGCCATTCTAACTAGGATGAGATGGTATCTCACTGTGGTTTTGAATAGCATTTCTCTAATGATTAGAGATGTTGGCAGCATGTATGTCTTCTTTTGAATATTGTCTGGTGATGTCCTTAGGCCACTTTATAATGGGGTTATTTGTTTTTCACTTGTAAATTTGTTTAAGTTCCTTATAGTGAATTTCATTTTGATTCATTTAAATTTAAGTACTCACAGGCCATTAGTGGACACCGCTCGACAGCTCAGCTTTACACAATTGAAATATATATAAACACAAAAGACAACACGTGAAGTAATACTTCAAGTATTCTAAAATTATAAAAGTAATATATTGTCAATAAAGATAAATTTTAAAATAGATACATGTAAGAGGGAAATGCTAAAAACACTCCTATCTCAACACCTAAATGTAAGCACTATTGACATTGTGACATATGCACTTTCAGTTACTTCTATTGTATGTTAGAAGGGAAAATAGTGCAAGACAGCCAATATATCGTCAGAATGATCGAGAGAACATGAAAACTCTAGATGAACCTGGTTTAAATGGAATACAATAAGTATGCCAGGATCTGCCCCCTGCACAGATGACAGGCCAGATGGCTGCCCTGTGGGGTGAATGACCACTCATGTCCACACATAAATCATTTCCCTATACTGTCTATGATGCCCTATGTTCCCATAGTATTTAGAATGGTGTACATCTGTTAAAAGCTAAATATTATGTGCAGCACTTCACATTTCAGCTTTTAGCATTTTATGGGGGCACTATCTAGACTGTCAAACCCAAGGCTGGAGCATTTAAGGAGGCCTAGGCAGCTAATGGGCAGTGCTTGGCCACTGGCACAAGCAAGGAGAGAACACCTACCAGGGAGAGCATGGGGAGACCCATCTTCATATTTTAGTCTAGGACAGGGTCATACATGCTACAAAAGTTCATTCATTCATTCATCACATATCCGTTCAACAAGTAATTTGTAAGTACCTATTCTGTGTCAGAGTCTTTGAGAGGGAAATGGATATATTGGAACTGTAGAGGCCAAGGTAAAATCTCTTTTTATCCTCTGTAGGTTCACTGAAAATCAACTGACAAAAGACAGATTAATAAGAGAAAAGGCATACAAATTTATTTGATTATAGTTGTATACAGGAGCCTTCAGAATAAAGACCCAAAGATACAGGGGAAACTGCCTATTTTTAGGCTTAGTTTCAATGAAGTATGGACAGCTGTGGAGAAAAATGACTGGACAGAAAGGGATAAGCTAATGTTAATGGACTGAGTAGGGAAGTCCAGCAAGGTCTGTCTGTTTGGATTCCTCTTAGCTTCTCTGTGTAGCATTCCTTCCTTCTGGGTATGCAGCAGGACCCTCTTGAAATGAGGGTCTTATGACCTACAATCAAACAAGATAAGTCAGATAACTTTTTTAAATTTTTTCAAAATTAAACTTAAGATTGGTTAGATTTTGACTGTGTCTCTTTAGCAGCTTAAGAAGCAAATGAAATTCCTCCTCGAAGAAGTATTCATTCTTTATCCTGCCACTAGCTTACAGTGAGCACAGACTGGAGTGCAGTGGTGTGACCTCAGCTCACAGCAGCCTCAACCTCCAGGGCTCAAGTGATCCTTCCACCTCAGTCTCCCTTGTAACAGGCACCACAAACCCGCACCACCACACCCAGCTAATGTTTTTATTTTAAGTAGAGACAGGGCTTCACCATGTTGGCCAGGCTGATCTCAAACTCCTGGGCTCAAATGATCTGCCTCGGCCTTCCAAAGTGCTGGGATTACAGGCATGAGCCACCACGCCTGGCCTAGACAATTTTTTTTTTTTTTTTTTTTTTTTTTTGTGGCCAGTTTTTACACAGAAAGGCTTGGGGGAAGTTAGAGTAATATTTTTAGGTTTTATGGCTGGCTTTGGGGAAAAGGGATTCTGGTTTCTACGATATGCCTTGGGGAAGACAGATTCTAGTTTCTATGGCTGGTCTTGGGGGAGAATGAGGGGCCAGAGACAGGAGGGCAGGAAAATGTCAGAGAAAATCTTTTACTCTGGGGGCTGCTTTATAAAGAGGCCTTCATTTGGGGGTATCATTTTCTGACGAAAAGGTGACTTGACTGGAAGTTGAATTAGTAAGCAGGGGGTAGATCTTTCAGGCCTGCAGGCCACATAAGGACTTCAGTGTTATTTCTGAAGGAAACGGAACGATCATGCAAAGTTATAATCAGGAGGGTGATATGATCCTAGTCGCTAATAATACAGCACTGAACACAGTCTGAGAATGTCCTTATCCTAAAGGAGCTTCTGTTGTAGTGGGAACCGAAATCAAAGGAAAGGAAAATTGAGTTTACAGAAATTGTGGAGAATTCAGTGGTGCCCTTGAGGGGACGGGAGGACTCCCTGAGGCAGATGATGTCAGACAGGCTATGGTACTTCCTATGAGCCCCAGTATCTGTCTACTCTGCCAGGAAGGGGCTTTACCTGGTTCTGGCTCCACTTTGTCTGAATCTTTTTTTGCACACTGTTGACTTATTTCCTAACCTGATATGCATTGTGTTCCTGCCAGACAAATCAGTTAGCTAATTGTCTAATGACATCTGAAGGCATTCTTCTAGTATTACCATTCCTTTATTTCCTAGTTCAGATTATTAAGGGCTGAAAATTTCAAGCTAGCAAAAGTCAAAACTCACTCTAAGCTAGTGGCAGGATAAAGAATGAGTACTTCTTCCAGGAGGAATTTCATTCGCTGCCTAAGCTACTGAAGATACACAGCCAAAATCTAACCAGTCTTACGTTTACTCTCAAATGATTTCTTGTAGAGAAGCCTCAGAAATTCACTAGGCCTGTGCCCCGCTTAGTCACAGACCAACTGCTCATCCTCATTCTTGTGACTGGCCATCACCACTCCTGGTAATGCAGCGCAAAACTGAAGGGGGTGCTTAGAATGAACTTCCAAAGGGAAAAGGACAGGATGTCCAGTTCATTTTCCTTTTTAGATGCAATTCCTACACATGAATCGGACAGTCCCAAGTTCAAGGAGGTCCAGCTGGGAGCCAGAGGGCTATGCGCAAGGATGCCACCCGCTGATTAAAGTCAGAGACCAGGCCAGGCATGGTGGCTCACGCCTGTAATCCCAATGCTTTGGGAGGCTGAGGTGGGAGGATCTCTTGAGGCTAGGAGTTTGAGACCAACCTGAGCAACGCAGCAAGACAGACATCTCTACAAAAAATTTAAAAATTAGCCGGGTGTGGTGGCATGTTCCTGTAGTCTCAGCTACGTGGGAGGCTGAGGCAGGAGGATCACTTGAGCCTGGGAGTTCAAGGCTGCAGTGAGTGGATCACGCCACTGCACTCCAGCCTGGGTGACAGAGTGAGACCCTGTCTCTAAAATAAAATTTAAAAAAAAAAAAGAAATAATAAATAAAAGAAACCAGGCAGCACACTGAGTAGTACCAGAATCTGGTCCAAAGACAAAAGGACACTGATGAGAGGGGCTGATGGGAAAGCAGGAGAGGGATTTGGGGAGTGACTGGGGTTCAGGCTAGGGCTATAGTTCAGGAGGGAGACAAACATGAGAGAGGACGTGTGAGGAGTTGGGAATCAAGACTCAAGGCACATGGGCTGAGGGATTTTTCTTAAGTTTCCCCCAACATTTGGGTATGGCCTCAAGTGCAAATTAACGGGGTGCCAAGAAAACTCCATCATCGAGATAAATAATATTTTAATACAATATTTTAAAACTCAAAATTAATGCAAAAACAATCCATGATAGACAAAATATTCTAATTGTAACTAAAGACAGTATCCATTGCAGTGAACGCCCTTGTCTGGCACCAGTGGACCTGGGGTGTTCTCTGGTTGTGCGACATGGTAAGTTGCTCTACCTTTCTGCCTCTCAGTTTACAGAGAAACAAACTGAAAGCCAGAGAGGTGCTCATTCTTTTAACGAGCCATTCATTAAATCAGATTCTCTTGGCGTGGGAGGAGGGGTGCGTGCTGGACATCAGTAGTTTTAAAAATTCTGCCCAGTAAGTCTAACGTGCACCGGAGTTAAAAAGAATTAGGAAATGATGACCTGGCTCACCAGAGTAATTCCAACTAAAGTGTAAGTGGTTAAGAGTAGATTCCTTTATTTCTCCTGCCACACATTGTCAGCACATGGACAGTAATACTGTTGGTTGAGGGCAGCATAACACCAGGGCGGGTCATGGGAAAGGATAAAGCAATGTTTATTGAATGCCTGCTTCCTCCCAGTAAGCATGCTGGGTGCTTTTCGTTGGTTTAATTCCCATGGTGATCAGATGAGGTTGGTATAATCACCTCCACTGAAGAGATGAGAAAGCCAATGCCTTTACATAAGGAAGCCTTTCATGAAAACCTTTAAATAGCATCACAAAGCAGAGTCATCCCAGGGAGCATTGGACCTACCTGCTCGTTCTACAGACCCTCCAGAACTGCCCACATGTCTGCCCTCTACAATGAACATTCAGCATCACCTAAATACAGCTCTCTGGTTAAATAACTGGGGAGCCGCACATTCTCCAGCAGCTTCACAGTGACTGGGACAGAATGAGGGAAAACAGAGGTGGAACTGGCTCTGAGGTCTGTTGAGAATATGACTACACCTGGTACGAGGAGGTCCATTTGTGATAAATTGGCTGCAGCCCAGATGATCCCTCTGACAAAAGATTTTGCATTCCCTCATTTTGCTTCCCCACCTCATTTTCCCCCCAATCAACACATTTGAGCTCTAAATCTGTGCCAAGCACTGAACATCCTTTGCACATTATTTTTAATCATCTTAACAAGTCTATATGGTAGGAATGATCATATCCATGTCATTCATGACCCTGAGGCTCAGTGATGCCAAGGAATTACCTGGCTTCTCACAAACTATAGGTAGCAAAGTTAGGATTCAAAGTCAGATGTTCTTACTCCAGAGCATGAACTCCAAAGCACGGTCTACACTGCATACTCTTTTTTTAATACCCCAGAACAGAGCAGATATACTATATTCTCTAATACCTTTCTGTCAGGATCAGCTATTTGAAATATGGTGGGCTGGAGCCACCTTAGTCAGCTGGCCAGAATGTGGTACAGTGGGTATCACTGAAGACCCAACAGCTTCTTGTTGATAAATAGCATAAAATTCCCACCATCTGAGTATTTTTCCATCTAAGGAGACAGCATATTTTACCTGGGTCAAGTGGTAGTTTATTCACAGCCAAAGGAAATACTAGAAATTAAGAACCTTCTATAGTTTGTTTGACATCAGCCTGTAATTATGTAAGCTGATTTTTTAGCATCCTAGTAACTTTCCACTTCAGTCTAGATTGGAAATATCCCCTCGTCTCCTAAAAGCTGGGGTATATTATTTCTGCAGCATCAGTCAGAGGATGCAAAATTACAGCAATTTCAGTATTCGGAGTTTTTTCTCTTCCTCGTATTTAACTCAAATAGACCCTTCATCTTTTGGTTCCCATTTCCCTAAAAGTGTGACACCCAGAGAAGATGCTTGAGGCCAAGGACTGTATTTTTATCCATCTTTGTTTCTCTAGCACCTAATACAGTGTCTGACATGCTACAGACATTCAGGAAGTGAATGAATGAAGTGTGCTTGGAATGTGAAGGTGCTACTGACCCACCATTGACATAATCTGAAAAATTTTTTCTAGAAGTGCAGATGATTTTCAGCAAGCCACCATGTCATCCTTTAACTTGCTTCTCCTGTTGTTTTTAACTGCTTTCCTGCAGCTAGATTTACTGACACCTCCCCACTGTGGTCTCAGGGTTACCCTAACCCCACTAAGTCTTAAGTAGAACACATGGGAGGCAGGAAGCTTATCAGTGGCTTAAGTGCCCACCACCTACAGGGGCTTAAGAAAGGATAAAGAAAGGATAAAGTCTCCAAAGCAGGAGTCCGGGTGATGAGCTATGCCTTCTGGGTTCACTTCAACCCTTCAGAGTCTCCAAATACATCTAATCCTCATGACAATTGTGTAAGGTAGGTATCTCAGCCTTCGTGTCTCCCTTTAAAAGTCCTGTCTCTCAGAAGCCTTCCCTGACGACCTGACATAGCCTGTCCCTCTTCTCCTTTACTCTCATTTCTACATGTGTTAGGATTAGGTTTGCTTGTGTAAAACAAAAACCCAATATAATAGATTCACCAAAGAAGAGTTATCTTTCTCACATGACAGGAGGCTGCAAGAGCATTCAAGGCTGTCTTGTGACTTCTCCAGTGCCATCAGGGTCTTAGGCTTCTTTTAGCTTTCAGCTCCCCCAGGCTGAGCCTGTGGCTTGGGGCTTCCTGCTCACTAGATGGCTGTTTTTTCTTTCAGCATCCTGTATGAGTTCCATGCACAAAAAAAGGGAGGGGAAGGATAAAGGGCAAAAGCAAATGCCAACTAAATTGACCCCTTTAACACATTTTCCTGTAGCCCTTTGCAGGAATGTCTGCTTATCTTACTAAACATACCTGGGGCTCTGGGGATGTGAGTGTTTTTAATCAGTTAGACCGTTTCTAAAATAAAATGGGGTTCTTTTCATAAGGATAACAGGGAGGTGAGACTGGCATCTAACTGTGTCTTGTCACAGCATGGCAGCACTTGGTGCTCTAGGAAACAGCCCTGGGGGCCCAGGATTTTGGGGTCATGGTGCTTCCCCCCACCTCTGGGTGACCCAGTCTACAGCACCAGTCTTCTGTCATGCTTCCCCTCTCCTCACACACCCTCCCTCATATGTGTCTCCCTCCTGAACTAGAACCCTACCCTGAACCACAGCCACTCCCCAAAGTCCCTCTCCTGCTCCTCCCTCAGCCTCTCTCACCACCACATCAGGGTTCTTTTGTCTTTGGACCAGATCCCGGTACTGGTCAGTGTGCTGCCTGGTCTCTGCCTGAATCAGTGCGTGGCATCCTTGCCTGCGGCCCTCTAGCTCCCAGCTGGACCTCCTTGAACATGGGACTGTCCAGTTCATGTCTGAACTTGTCCGGAGGATGACCACAGGCCTGTTTCTACAGTCAGGTTGGTTTCAGTACCCAGGAGTCACGAAAAGAGGATCTAATGACTTGTGGTAACAAAGTTCTAGAATGCTTTGCATTTGGCCCTCTTGGGGCTGGATGTACCATACTTGGAGTTGAAGTGAGGTAGCTTTCATCCTCCCTCTCATATCACCTGGCTGCTGAAGTAGCATCCAAGATGTCCAGGAGGTAGGATTTCAGGGGGCCGGAAGGCATGTCATTCTCATCTAGGCTGACTGTTGTGTTTTATTCATGAGAAACAGAGGTCTGGAAAGGTGGGATTAATTTTTCTAAAGGAAGCAGAGCTGCACCCACACATATGGGATCTTAGCCATGCAGCCCATAGGAAGTATGTCGAGGTGAGCTAGGTGTCTGAAACACTGCTGGGATTCTTCCCAGAGCCCTCTCCCAGCCTCCTTCACTACCATGAAGGCAGAGGGAAGGGTGTGAGGGTTGCTACCGAGAGGATTTCCATATTCCTAACAAGGAGAGCATTTTGGTGGAGAGTTGAGAAGATAGAACTTCAGGTGAGTCTGGTGCTGCGTGATTGAATAGAGAGAAATCCAGACATTAATGGTTCCAGGGCACAAATAGGAGGTCCAGGGCAATGTGGAAATTGTTCAAGGTGCTCGGGGTTGCATAACAGAGGAAACAGTAATGGCAGGTAACATCCATTGAGCACCTACTGTGGGCCAGACACTCTTAGTAGAGCTTTAGCTAAATCAACTGACTGCTCATAGCAGCCCTGTGAGTTCAGTACTGAAGGCCTACAATCCTATATCCAAAATCCTTAAGGCCAAATGTGTTTCCAATACTGAATTGTTCAAATCATAGAAAAACAATATGGTGCCTATACCATATATTATGTAATGATTCCCAGAGGGGTCTGGGGCAGCAGTTAGTAAACAAGCATGTGGACATTTCTGCAGCCAGTGGGCTAGACAAAGCCTACCAAAACCTTCACATTGAATATGACACCAAATAAGTTTGGGTATACCACTTACAAAAAAGCATTTGGTTTTCTGGGCTTTGGGGATTTCAGAGCTTTCAATCCTCATCCTTATTCTGATTTTCCAGAGAAGAAAACTGGCAGTGTGGCTCCAGCATCTGTGCTGTTAACTACACTGTGGCTCCAGCATCTGTGCTGTTAACTACGCTGTTCTGCTGCCTGATGACAATGCACATCTATCATACCCTATACACGCCATGTCGCTGTAATATATGTGGTCTCTACCAGTCCTCAAGGAAAGACTAAGGAAGGGGGAGCAAACTCTGGTACATCTCTTTAACAAATGGTGAAATCAAGGCTCACAAGAGTGGTATCTAGTTCAAGGGTGCACAGTGGATGGATAGAGGCACAATCCAAAGCAAAGCGCAGGTCTGCAGGCTCCTGGCTCCCCTGCTATTGGATATATTCCTTAGGAATTATTTGAAGCAAAAGTAACAGGAAGAGAAATGTTATTATAATATTTGTGGCAATGGAAGAATAGGTTCGCAGTGGTGGCAGAATCAACAACATAGAAACCGATGCTAACATTTTGAATGAAATGTAGAACAGGAGAACATGGTGTCTTCTTATCATCCCCAAAGGAACCAAAAGGTTCTAACCAGTCAAGCAAGGGACATGACAGCATCTGCAGCATTTGTTCTCTGAGACCACGATGATCTCTCTCACGATTGGGGTTATCTGAGGCCTCCTGCCTATCTCCAAGGGTGGGTGAGGAAGCAAACAAGCAACCAAACATTGTCCTGATGACTGAAAGGTGAGGGGAGGGAAGCCTCTGCTGTTGTGTCCCAGGGACCTTAGACTAAATGTCAGAAAGCCACAGCCTCAGAGAGTCTTGAGAAGAGCTGTCTGTGCTATTCAGAAAGGTGTCAGAGGAGAGAGCTGCAGCCTCCTGGTCTCCCTGAGACCCCAGGGCAGTCAGCCTCCAGAGGGAATAGGTGAGGGATGCAGAGGATGCTGGTTCTATCTTTATGCTCAGAACACATGTAGCCCTAGTGTAGACAGGAGAACAGGCAGGGGTTGGAGCAGGTGGGGGGTGGGGTCAGGTGGCCCTGGGTGATCCTGGGAAGGATGGAGGTAGGAGGGACCTGGGAAGAACTTCAGGACTCTTCTATCTCTCATGTCACCACATCACAGTGCTTGCATTCCAGCAGGAATCTCTGCAAATGTTTCCTCTTCTGGCCTATAGCTATAGTTTTTCTTCGATGCCCAACTGGCAGCTACCTACATGGTATTACTTAAGGGCACCAAAAAGTCCTTTTGGTATCTCACAAGTATCTCATCACTAGAGGGACTCCTTTGTACTGATGAATTCTGCAAAAGACATGCAAGGATTTTGTGAAAGAAATGCCTTAAACATGCCACCCATCTATCCAGAATGGTCTCTCCTGGCTTTTCCATCTGTTAAATTTCTACTCATCCTTTAAGACCTTCCCTAGACCTGTGGCTCTTTCCTGAATGCCTCCCATAGTTTTCCTATATCAACCTCTATTAGAACTGCTGCCACTCTGTAATATTGTTCTGTTTACAGATTGGTCTTACCCACTGGATAGGGGTTATAATAATACAACTCACAAGGACTAAATTGGGTGATATATGTAAAGTGCTTCACACAGAGTAGACATCAAGCAAATAACAATTCTCTTCTCTGGCCTTCTGTCAGTTATTAAATTGAACTGTTTCTAGTATTCACTGCTTTCCCTCCTGCTTCCCTAGCACCATCCTAATCCATTCCTCTTATTACTTTAAGAGGTTCCTAACTGCCCTCTCTGCCTCTAATATATTTCTTTTAACCTTTATGTTTCTTACTGGCTGCTGGCTATGAATTCCCCTAAGATATTTCTGTCTTTATATTCTTCCACTATTCAAGGACTGCAGTAGCTTCCAGTGTTCCACTGCATTAGCTCCTAACTCCCAGCAGCATGTCCAGCAGTTCATTTGCTCCCCACAGACCAAAACCCTTACCAATGCTTTGCAGGTGACCCAGTCCCCATGCACCAAATGTGCTGTGCTAATGACTTGCTCCAGGACCTCTGTTCTCACCTTCTAACCCACAGTGTTCTCCTTACTCCACGCCTTCTTCCAAATCCCTCCTTCCAGATTTAGCTTACGTTGGATATGCTCCATGAATCAATTACATACTTTAAGTAGTCAATTAATAATCATACACTGAGTAGCGCATTAGAGGAAAGTATAAAGGAGACCCTCCGAGCTCTCAGGAGCTAATCGTGGAGGTTCACTGCATACTCACATCCAGTATCATTAACTTCTCAAGATAAATGCCAAGTGTAACCCACGTTTGGCTGGCCCTCTCGTTGACCTGATACCTTAGGTGTGCAGTTTCCTGGAAAGTTTCCCCTAAGCATTTCTGAAAGTTGAAAAAGGTGTCTCATGTGAGTCATCAAGAAATCCTTGCAGCTTCTCTATTAGTTAGGCATGCTTTTGGCCCTAAGTAATAGAGCATCTGATAGTGTCTCCAGCAACAAAAATATTAAATGTCTCACAACGGGAGAAATCTGGAGGCAAGCAGATGCAAAGCTTAGTGTGGGTTCATGAATGACTGATAAATGGCAAGGTTGACTAACCTGGGGCTATGAGGTTATAGATCTTTAAATTCTCCCTGACTACTGAAAGGATATGTTCCAGAGGCAGGCATGTACGTAAGGGAGATGGGAAATAAGGGATCCAGTGACCTGGTTGCAGATAAGAAAGAATATGAGCACTGATCTTTCAGGGAATAACTAACTTGGTACTTAAAAAAAAGTATGTCTACTATGCTTGACATTCTACCACACTGGTAGTCAATCGAAAACAACAAACAAGTAAAGGGGAGTATGGGCACTTTTATTGCACTATACTTTCCTATCTTCTTTTTCTTCCTAGACTTCTAATATCTGTGTATGTATTTAAAAACTCAAAGTTCTGTGGTCAATAATCAGAGCTTTAAAGAATCAGTGTCCACACATTGTGGACATTGTGTGGTTGCTGGTTAGATTGTCAGTCACATTGTTGACAGCCTACCCAGCAGTGATTCCCTTCTTTTTTCTTCCTAATAGGACTCAAATGTTCTTTGGGTCTGAAGCCAACCCCATGCAGCTGTGTATCTCGGAAAGGGTGAGCCTCCCTGGATGGAGCCCGACAACGTCCTTAAGGACTCAGGCTCTTTTCAACCTTTGCCTTCACCATCTTGGCCTCTTGGCCTTTCATCCTCCTGCTTGTACTTCACAGCCTCTAGACAGCTGTCATCACTGCAGGCATCAGGAATGACTGAAAGGTATGAAGCAAATGGAAGGGTCAAAAGCCTTTCTCTTCTAAATGCTTTGTCTTTTTCTTAAGAAAGGGAAGTTGCCAATACCCAACTATCATGTTAGAATTCCCTGCTCCAAGTATTGTTGGACACTACTGGGCTCTTTTTTTTTTTTTTTTTTTGGAAACAGGGTCTCATTCTGTCACTCAGGATGGAGTGCAGTGGCTTGAACATGGCTCACTGCAGCCTTGATCTCCCATGCTCAAGTAATCTTCCCATCTCGGCCTCTCAAGTAACTGGGACCACAGGCACACACCACCATGCCCGCCTAATTACAAAAAAATTTTTTTGTAGACGGGGTCTTGCTGTGTTGCCTAGGCTGGTTGAACTCCTGAGCTCAAGCAATCCACCGACCTCAGACTCCCAAAATGCTGGAATTACAGGCGTGAGCCACAGTGCTTGGCCTGGACACTCTACCTTTTTCAGGCACAACCATTCCTTATGGTAGGGTTGCCAGGTTTACAAATAAAAATGTAGAACACCTAGTTAAATGTGAATTTCAGAGAAACAACAAATAATTTTTAGTATAATTGTGCCCAAATGTCGTATGAGATATACTAAGAAGTTATTTGCTGTTTCTCTGAACTCACATTTAAGTGGGCATTGCGTATTTATCTGGCAACCTTTTCTATGGGCACTGCCACAACTTCCTCCAGAGACCACTGTTTCCTTAAGGAAGTGCCCCCATGGGTGGCCTGAAGACCTCAAAATGCCATAGCACCAGGGTGTTCAATGAGAAGGTTGACCTAAACGCCTCTCTTCCCCTTTTGTTTTACTATGTTCATGTAATCCCAAAGAAAAGTCACTTGTGCCTCACTGTCTTAATACATGTTCAACGAAACATCTTTTTATTTAGCTTTTAGCCACTCTTCCTTGAGACTCAGACCTGAGTTCTGGGGGTGGAGCTGAGCCAGAATAAAAATGCGAATGAAGACACGATGCCATTCCCAGCTTCACCTTTGCCCACTGGAGCCAAGGTTTAGCCAACCTTGTCTGTCTGCCTTGACTTAACCTTTATCAGGGCACTCCAGCCCTGTTCTCTTAAGCAGTATGTTTTTAGTTCATGCAAACAGACCTACCCAGCTATCTACACAGGTATGTCAGAATCTTCCAAGTAGGTGCGTCTTAGTCTCAGAAAAGATGCATGCATTGTGTCCTCTTCAGAGGAGGGGCCAAAAAGCCTTCACTGCTTGAGGCAGTCTTCATGGAAATTAGGATTTGGCTTTGTCCTCAAACGGAAGAGGAGGGACAAATCAAAAGGCAAGAAGAGGATGTGGCTGGCAAATAGGACTAAGTGTGTTTTCAGGAGATTGAGACCAAGACTGAAGCAGAGATTGCCTGCTATAAAGTTGGGAAATGAGACTGAGAAAATTCTGGGCCAGATTATGAAAGACACTGCGGGTAAGAAATGACAGTATGTTTGATTTAGTGAGAAAAAGAGCCCAGTTAAATGTGAATAGAAAGAAATGTTTCAGATGATATGATGTAGGCTTGTTTTTACACTTCCCCTCATTGTTCCCCAGTGTAAAAGTAGATCCCTTAAAGATAAACACAGTACCCTTTGTTGAAGATATGCCCTCTTCTGCCAGTTAGGAAATCTGAACCTTTAAAAGAATTTACTATTTCTAGCTAAAGTCTTTAGTTCCTGGACTAAACAATAAGATCACTAGTATTGGAGAAAAAATCTATTTTATTCTCTGATATTAAAATTAACATCAGCTTTAACTCAAACACAAGGATGTTCCAGGGTAACTTTGAACCTTACTAATTCTCTGACAGCCACTTCCTTCCTCCTGGGGTCGGGCTTGTTTACAGAGAATCTTCTGGGTGTGTGTAGCTTCCTCCCCATTTCCCACCCACTGATAAACATAGTGCTGGCCTTCAACCACTTAAGCCCTGCAACACATGCAGGATTTTCTTGCCCAATGAATTGAGTGCACCCTGTTTTCTAGTTACACTGTTCTGAGAATAGTACAATTGATCTTCCCCAAAGTAAATCCCCTCCCCTTTATGTACCTTGTCTCTCAACAGCCCCTTCCCTAGCCAGGAGTCTGGTGACCTCCATCCCTAACATCCTGCTTTAAACCCTGACCTGAAAAGGATGTGATTAACTATTTTACATAATGCCTGGAGATGTTCACATGGGGGTGGGGAGAAACCTGCAAAATTGAGATGCACAAAAAAATACAATACAACCCTCTTCTAAGACCTTTTCTTCTCCCTTAAAAAGAAACCCCCAAAACTCAGGCAGTGAGGGGATGAGGTAGGGTTGGGAGAGAATTCCTTGTTACTTCTGTTTTTCTTGAAATTTTTCCACGTGATATTATTCACATGTTTACTAGGATATAAATGGTCACCAAAGGTCCGTCCATATGTGATCTTTCCAGCAAAACAGGAAAGAAGTCATGTCTAACATAAGTGAATCTCACAGACAGACAAATATTGCATGTGCTCATTCATATGTGGGAGCTGAAAAAGTTGGTCTCATGCAGGTGGAAAGTAGAATGATGGTAACCAGAGGCTGGAAGGAGTGGGTTTGGGGTGGGCGTGGGGAGGTAGAGATGAGGAGAGTTTGGTAAATGGGTACAATCCTACAGTTGAATAGAAGGAATCAGTTTTAATGTTCGATAGCCAACTAGGGTGACTAGAGTTCACAACAACATATCATATATTTCAAAATAGCTAGAAGAGAGGACTTGAAATGTTCCCAACACATAGAAATGATCAATGTTAATGGTGATGGATACCCTAAATGCCCTGACTTGACCATTACACATTCTGTGCATGTAACAAAATATCACATGTAAGCCATAAATATTATGTATCAATATTATGTACAAATATTATGTACAAATATTATGTATCAATAAAAAGTAAAAAACAAACAAAAACAAACAAAAAACAAGTAAAGCTCAAATTAGGGGGATTTGGGCAGCAGTCATTACAGCAGGTGCTGTTTCTTCAGGCCAGAGGAGGCCTTTCCCAAATGAGCAATAGGGCCAGGCATGGTGGCTCACACCTGTAATCCCAGCAGTTTGGGAGGCCAAGGAGGGTAGATCACTTGAGGTCAAGGCTCGAGACCAGCCTGGCCAACACCTTGAAACCATGTCTTTTCTAAAAATACAAAAGATTAGCCAAGTATGCTGGCACACTCCTGTAATCCCAGCTACTCTGGAGGTGGAGGCATGAGAATCATTTGAACCCGGGAGGTGGAGCTTGCAGTGAGCTGAGATTGTGCCATTGCATTCCAGCCTGGGCAACAGAGAGAGACCCTGTCTCAAAAAAAAAAAAAAAAAAAAAATGAACTTCAGACTTTGCTGAAGGCCAGAGTGCTCCTTGCATGGTCCTTTAGCTTCCGACCCTTCACTGCAGTCATCAGAAGGATCTTTCTAATGCAGTTACTATTATTTTCCCACATGTTTACTCAGGAACAGATAATACATATACATGGCACAGAACTCAAAATACCTTACAGGTGATTGAATAAAATGTAAGCCTACTTCCTTTTCCCATTCTCTGGTTACACTCTTCCTGGAGGTGACCTCTATTATCAGTTTCTTTGTTTATTTTTTCTTTTTTCTTTTCTTTTCTTTTTTTTTTTTTTTCTTTTTTTTTTTTTTTTTTTGAGACAGAGTCTCTCTCTGTCGCCCAGGCTGGAATGCAGTGGCTCAGTCTCAGCTCACTGCAACCTCCATCTCCCAGGTTCAAGCAATTCTTCCGCCTCAGCCTCCTGAGTAGCTGGGACTACAGGCACGTACCACCATGCCCGGCTGATTTTTGTATTTTTAGTAGAGACGGGGTTTCACCACATTGGTCAGGCTGGTCTTGAACTCCTGACCTCGTAATCCGCTTGCCTCAGCTTCCCAAAGTGCTGGAATTACAGGTGTGAGCCACCAATCAGTTTCTTAAATATCTGCCTTCCAGAGATGTCTATGGTTTTTCAAAAATAGAATCAGAGTTGTTTGATAGGCTTATTTGCTTATTTTTTCAGTTATTACAATACATGAGTGTTCTTAAATTGTAATCCATGTGGTTCAAAAATTAACAAATTTAAGAGATAACCAGTGAAAAGTCATGCACGCAACCCTGTTCCTAGCCTTCTTCCTGGTTTCCATGCTATACCACCCCTTCCCCCACCCCATCAGGTAGTTTTTTTTATGTTCTTGTGAGTCAGTGCAGACGTTTTAAAGGCACATGCAACCAAACGCAATTCCTATCCTCCCTTTAAAGCAGTTCTTTAACTTGGGACTCTATAAAGACAACAAGAATAATTATTTGAATAAGCAAACTATGCATTGATGGAATTAACACTATGACTTTATGAAGCAGTCAACTTAAGCTCATCTATATATTGCATATTTGTGGTTTGTTTTGCATATATATAAAATATAAACATGTTATATATGTGTGTATTATATATAAAACAAACTACAAATAATAAACAAATTTAACTGCCTGGGTTTCCTTCGCTTCAGAATATTGTGATCCCCTTAAAAAGGACCCTCCCCGACTATTGAAAGTACTTAAAAATTAATATTACCTGAGCCCCTACCAATCAGGACAGAAGCCCAATTAATCAGAATCACAGCCAACAGTACATATAAGGGTACTTGGTGTACCACACAGGTGGGTCCTGCTACCCATGAGGCCTATCTGTCCCTGGAGGGGCCCGTGAGATTACAGGACCAAGATGACTTACCACCTACGTCGGTCTATGGTTTTGCTTGCCATGCGCAAGGGGGTGTTTGTAGAGCACTGTGGCTTCTGATGGGAGGAAGGAACTTCTGCTCAGAGCCCTATCGTTCTGAGGACCACCTTATTTAGGGGTTTCCCTGGTTTCCCCCTGGCTTCGGCAATCCTGGATTTTATGTAATCATTGCATTTTCTCTCATGAATTGGCCCATATAACACGCTTTGTAGATTACTGCTGAGTTTACCTATTTGGGAGACCACCCGGGAGAAGAATG